GGGGGAGGAGAAGAGAGGAGCGGGGGGCGAAGGGGAGGAGACATCGTCGGCAGTTGTGAAGAGAGAAGACGCCGGCAGCTATGAGATAGAGAGGAGAAGAGAGAAGACGCCGGCGCTATGAGATAGAGAGGGGTGAGAGAGTTATGCTGAAGGTGAGAAATTAGGGATTTAAGTTAGGTAGGGTGGGGTGGGGTGGGGTGGGTTTAATAATATTATTATTAATATTTAATTAAATATAAAAAATTTGTATCTATACATAAAATATCTGATTTTTGTAAACTAAAACTTAAAATCTGAATTTGGAACTTAGATCTCCAAAAGTAGGGGATAGTGTAATTTCCACTTTCCCAAACTAAACCTGCATGTTTAATAGTCCATCCCATGTTTAATAGTCCAAATGGCCCATGTTGGCTTGGGCCATCACCGGGAAAAGCTCAAAATTAGTTAGGAGTCCGTGCCGTCGCGATGCCGTCCGTTAACAGTCGCCCAAAAGCCCTGTACTCCTTCCAATATTCATCGTGACCTCAAACTCAACTGCTCAACGAGATAGAAGCGGAGGTTTTACGATCGGATCATATCATAATTCAATAGAAAAATGGCGGAAGATTTGGTATTGGACACCGCGATCAGAGACTGGGTGTTGATACCCCTATCGGTGGTTATGGTGCTAATCGGAATCCTTCGTTATTTCGTATCCAAGCTCATGCGCTCCTCCAATCAAGTTCCCGATCCCAAAATGATCAAAGAAGGGTATACTTGTTAATTTTGTATATATGCTGATAGGTTTGTGTAAGTTACTCTGGATTTCACTTTTCTTCTTTTTCCAGTCAAGTGGTAATTAGAGCACGGAATCTGAGGGCAGCTGCAAATTTTATACCCGCTAAATCATTTCGTTCTCGTAGGGTTTATTTCAGCAATGAGGTAGGAATTTTTTCTCTCTCTTCCTTTTTAATCTAGTTTATACTAATTTTGGAGTACATTCTGATTGAAGATTAAGTTCAAAATTTGAGATATATGTACATATAAAAAAATTACGGATGGAAACCGAGGGAATATAATCTAATTACTTCTGATAGGTGATAGTGTTGCATTGAACGTTGGTGATTGCCTGATTGTCAAGTAAAATAAAGTTCTCTATTGGATTATGCCACAATTGACTAAGAAATGAATGAATGGAATATTGATTTAGGTGACATTCTAACTCAATAGCGTCAAACGTCCTAGTTGCTGCTGACATTAGATTTGTGTAAGATTACCCTTAAACTGGAATGAGAAAGAAATTTAAAGCAAACATTATGAATATTTGAATAAATAAGTTATAAGAAAGGTTATGGACTATATGGTGATTGAAATGGGCTTGTTGAAATGAGGCCTTCTAAATTACAACCACAAACTATACCTTATTCCTAACAGATTTGGTTTGGCTACGAAAATATTCCCTTGTCGCTTCATTCACTCCCAGCATCTCTATTTTAAGGGAAAATACTCCTAATTATTTCACAATTAATACTTTACTGGATGACATGTATATTTCTTATGCACGACATTCTAGTGATTGAGATTACATGTTTTAGTAGTTTGACATAAGAGAACAAACGGTCAAGACTCGAGGAACTAGATGAAATGGCAAATACTTCTCAACTAAAAATTGTAAATTACCATTGTGTTGGGAATCGAGAACTAAATGCTTGGTTTATAACCTCTGATTGCAATCTTCTTTCGGTATTTTTATGATCAATCTTTTCACTTCCAATCATATAAAGCTAAAAAAATTAATTCTTGATATTATATTCTCGTGCTTAGAACTTAGAAAATGGTGACATTTGAAGCACATACACTCCTACTAGGTCTATGTGCCTGTGTGTGACACGTTTGGAAATCAACATTTCATGATATGGATGGGTCCAACAAGCCACATACCCTGCACTATTTTTTGTATATTTTAAAAATTTCTAATGCTCAAGAGATACTTTAGGTACCCTCTTCGCGGGCTAGTGTTCAACATGACATGCATCATCTCGTATGTTAACAAGTATAAGAGTACAGAAATAATATATTAAATTTAAATTTTAAAGAATTTAATCGATGTGTCCGTAACCTCGTCCTACAGTACAAAAAACTTGTGTTTGTCTTGTGTCTTGTCGTGTTCATGTTCCACGTCCATGTCCATGCTTCTTTGATGGTTACTCATGTTGGAATTTAGGAAATTAACATTTCAATGTCTCCCTTTTTCCACTGTTTTTTTGTATATGAACAAAAAAGTCAGACTTCATGCTAAGAGAACACGGTGCGTAATTTCGTCTGACCATTAATTCAACTGTTTGTAAGTAAACTATGACATCCATGAACATCTGTAGTACACAAACTCAATGCGTGTTTCGATGGATTTGGTCCATTAAACAAGCGTGAAGGCAGGTTACAGCTTGTATGATAATGAAGCTTGTCTTTTCCTAGTTAAGTAAATCAGCTGGATAATTTTCAGAAATAGATAGATCGTAGTATTCGTTTGTTTTCACTTTTCAGAGGACGCAATCATCTTTGAATGTTACATTAGCCAAATGTTGTGTTGACTACAACCAAATCAACTTTTATATAAAAAACCTCTATGTGCTAAACTCTTGTTACGACTCAGCTCCAAACTCGGCTCCTACTTCACTGGAAAGCTTTTGTAACTAGATTCAGCTAAATCAGCTGAATAATCGAACAACTAATCAAAGAAAATAGAAATTGGGGGAGGGGAAAATGATGTAAAATTGAGAAGATGTGAGAGATAAGCTTGAATTGAGATTTCAATCCAGTAGCTAACAGAATTTCATAACAAATCACGTGAATGAATGCAGAGAGTACATGGCTTGTGTGTATATAGGTTCCACATAGAAAACGTGAAACAAAGACAGATGAAAATAAGGAAAAACGTGTTTCTTTATTACAATTAAAATTGAATCAAAACGACACCGTTTCGTGATGAACCATACGACGCCGTTTCTGATTTCGAATTTCTGTTAATTCGGTTTCTTCTCTTCTTCTTCTTCCTTCTTGTTTCTTCTTCTTGTGGAGCTTCTTCTTCCTTTTCTACCCCAATTGCTCCCTCCATAATAATCCTTCCTCTCACCTTGATCTTGTCCCCAAGATCGACATTCAGGGAACTGAAACTTAATTCATTCGGAGTCCTCCCAAGTTGCATTTTCTGGTGAAGCATCTGACCAATGAATAAGCCACTGGGTGGCCTGATGGTTCCTGCGTTGTACCTTGCGAGGTTAAAGGATAAAAAGAGGCTGATGAAGAGAGTGTAGGGTCTGGTTCCCTTCAGGTAATTGAAGAACTGGTAAGACGTTACTTCCAAGTTGCTTTTTCAACAAGGACACATGAAAAACTGGGTGGATTTTTGTTCCTTCTGGTAGGGCCAACTGGTGGGCTACCTCTCTAATTCGTTTAACAATCTGATAAGGGCCAAAGTATCTAGCATTCATTTTGTGATGAGCTCTTCGTTCGACTGATTGCTGAGTGTAGAGGTGTAGCTTGAGGAAAACCCAATCACCTTCTTCGATCTCTCTGTTCGCTTCCTATTAGCATAAAGTTTCATCCTTGCCCTCGCCTGTGTCAGATTTTCCTTCAGAAGTTGATCTAGCTTGTACCTCTCCTGTAACAAACTGTCTACGACAGCTTACATTAGATTGCTGATAGGGTCCTAGTGCCAGTTGAGGAGGTTTCATCCCATATAAAGCTTCAAATGGGGTCATCCTTATAGCAGTGTGATAGGTGGTGTTGTACCACCATTCAGCCAGAGCCATCTATCTTCCCCATTGTTTAGGATGCTGGTAAACTGAGCATCTTAAATACATTTCCACGCATTGGTTAACTCTTTCGGTTTGCCCATCCGTTTGAGGGTGGTATGCTGTACTGTAATGCAACTTAGTCCCTAGGAGATGGAAGAGTTCTTGCCAGAACTTGGTGGTGAAGACCTTGTCTCTGTCAGAGATTATACTTAGAGGCAAGCCATGTAACTTGTAGATGTTATTGAGGAAGAGTTGTGCCACTGAGGAGGCAGTAAAAGGGTGTGTCAAGGCCAAGAAATGTCCATATTTTGTGAAACGATCTACCACCACCAGAATCGTGTTTTTCCCTCCAGAGTTGGGTAATCCCTCATGAAGTCCATACTGATGTGACTCCATTAGTGTAAAGGTTGGGGGAGGGGCTGTAATAGCCCTGGGTAGGGAACATATTCCCCTTTGCATCTTTGACAAACTTCACATTGAAGTACCAACTGTCTAATTTCGTGTGACATTTTTGGCCAGTAAAATAGTTGTTTTGCTCGATAGAGGCTATTATGAACGCTTGAATGGCCTCCTTCGGCTAAACCATGCAGGTTTTGAATCAGCCTGGACCGAATGTCCCCTCTCTTTGTGTTTCAATAATCCATTTTCATAAGTGAAACCAGGGTCAGAATTTGGGCTGACCAATAATGATTGAATCTTCTCCTTTGCCTCCCTATCATCCTTATAGCTCCCTAGAACTTCTTCAATCTACGTAGGTTGGACCACTGTGATGTGGGAAAACTCAGGAACCCCTTCATATCTCCTGGAGAGGGCATCTGCAAAAATATTATCTGCTCCCCTTTTATAAATGATTTTATAGCTGAGGCCCAAAAGTTTGTTAAGCTACTTTTGTTGGAGAGGAGTTGTGATCCTTTGCTCAAGTAAGTACTTGAGTGCTTGATGATCCGTCTTAATTATAAAGTGGTGGCCCTCCAGGTACTGCCTCCACTTACAAGCCGCTATAACCAATGCTAGTAGTTCCTTCTCGTAAATGGATAGCCCCATATTCCTAATGCTAATTGCCTTGCTTAAGTAGGCTAGAGGTCTCCTTCCTTGCATCAGAACCGCCCATATGCCTCCTTGACAGGCATCAGTCTCAATGATAAAAGGTTAGCTGAAATCAGGAAGGGCTAACACGGGGGTAGAACACATTGCTTCTTTCAACATTTCAAAAGCTGATTCTGCTATTTCAGACCATAGGAAGCTATCCTTTTTTAGCAGGTCTGTGAGTGATTTGGCTATGATTCCATAGCTTCTGACGAATTTCCTATAGTAGCCAGTGAGGCCCAAGAAACCTCTTAGTTGTTTGATGTTCACTGGCCTAGGTCACTGCTTTATTGCATTAACCTTGATGGGGTCTGCTGCCACTCCTTGTTGGTTGATGATATGTCCTAGATATTCCACCCGTTTTTGGCCAAAACTGCACTTGGATCTCTTGGCATACAGCTGATGTTTTTGCAGAATTCGGAGGATTGATCTGAGATGGTGGCAATGTGAAACTAGATCCTTGCTGTAAACCAGAATATCATCGAAAAACACTAACACATAATCCCTCAACCAAGCTTTAAAAACTTCATTCATGAGGCTCTGAAAAGTGGCAGGGGCATTGGTGAGGCCAAAAGGCATCACTCTAAATTCGTATAACCCTTGGTGAGTTTTGAAGGCTGTTTTATGTATGTCGGCCTCAGTAACCCGGATCTGGTGATACCCTGCCCTGAGATCAATTTTAGAATAAAACTTTGAACCGTTCAATTCATACAAAAGCTCATCAATCAAAGGCATGGGGAATTTGTCTTTGATAGTGAGGCTATTCAGCTGCCTGTAATCTACACAAAATCGTCATGATCCATCCTTTTTCTTGACCAAAAGTACTAGGGAAGCAAAGGGGCTATTGACGTGCCTGATTATGCCACTGTCTAGCATCTCTTTTACCAGTTTTTCAATCTCTGATTTCTGGATAAACCGATAAAGGGGCATCTATATGGTCGAATCTTGAAGGGTTGAGCACCTTCCTTCAAGGGAATGAGGTGATCATGGGTTCGAGGAGGGGGTAGACATTTAGGTTCCCCAAACACCATAGGAAATTCATCAACCACTTCAGTTATTTGGCTAGGAATCTCTTCTCCTTCTGTCTCCGTAATAGCATAGAAGTGCCCCATAACACAATATTGCCCTTTTCTGAATAAATTGCTCACTTCCTCTTCTGCCATAATCAGTACTTGGGGTTCTGAATTGTCACACCTTAGTGTTACCTCCTCTTGTTCACGTTGAAACCTAATATAACCTTGCTTGAAATCGAATGTGACAGGCCCAAACTGGCTCATCCAGTCAACACCCAGTACCATGTCACTTCCTCCTAATTTCAAAGTCCTCATTCTATACTGGAACTCCCAGTTTTGCACCTTCCAAACCAGTGGCTGAATCAGAGCTTTATTCTCTAGCTTTTCTCCATTAGCTACCTTTACTGTCATGGTTGTAGTTCCCTTTATGGGATAGTTTAGTTCCTTGGCTAGCCTCTCATCTATGAAGTTATGAGTACTCCCACTATCTACTAGAATAGATATGTTCCTTTCTTTGATGGTTCCTGGAATTCTGATGGTTCTATGCCGTGGGTTTCCAGCAAGGGTGCTGATAGATATTTCCATCACTTCTTCATCATCTGATTCAGGTCCTCTCTCTTCTTTAGTCTCATCATCTTCTTCATCCACCAATATGAAGTTTAGTGCCCCGTTTTTACACACATGCCCAACCGTGTATTTCTCATCACATTTGTAACAGAGCCCCAAGTTTCTTTTGGTTTGGAAGTCAGTGGGAGTGATGGTTTTAAATTGGTTTGATGGCTTAGTCATTTTTTGCCATGGTTATGTGGGTTTGGGACTTTCAGGGGGCTTTGGTGGGTAAGGATTTCATTTGTTAGGTGTGAAATTCTTGGATTTTTAGTATTTGTTTAGGGCTTGGATGGTAGATTCTTGTAGGCTAGCTATCTCAAATGCTTTTGCCAATGTGTTAGGCTTCATCATTTTAACCATGGATTTCATCTCCCCTCTCAATCCACTGGTAAACACAGCAATATAGTAGGACTCAGGGACGTGGTAGGGCTACCATTACCTAGGATTTAAGCTCCTTGAACTTCTCCTGGTATTCTTCTATGGAGCCCAGCTGTTTGATTTTACTGAAGGTTTCTACTATCTCCTCTCCAGTGGTCTTTGCAAATCTCTTGCATAATGCTTCTGAAAACAAGCTCCAACTAGCCCCTGGGTGACTGGCAATGAACCCATCAAACCAGATATCAGTCTTCCCTTTCAAGTACATTTCTGCCACCCAACTCTCAGTTCATCTGGGATCTAATGCAATTTGAAATACTTCCTGGCTTTCCTTAGTCATTCCTCGGGTCCTTCCCCACCAAAGTGAGGGAAATCTTAGGTAGCCTGGTGTTCTCCTTCAGCTCTCCCCTGGAGACAACACTAGCCTCCATACTGCTGCCTCCTGGTGTGTAGGACTCACTCCCAAACTTCAAATCCCCCATAGATTCCTCCATCCCTTTGTTTTTCTAGTTGGCTCTCAAATCAGTTGAAATTTGGGCCATGATTGCAACAACCTTCTCATACTTTTTGTTCAAATCTAACACAACATCCTCGATTTTCTCTTGTCTACTACTCAACACTTGAAGAGTTTGGTCCATAGATTCTAGTTTATTCTCCAATCGGCTGATAACCACCTTGAAGCTTGCACCCAAATCAGCCACTTCGAGATCTAACTTCTTCAAATGTTCATCAGTTGCCTTTGCCCTTGTATCCATTTTTTAAATGATTACCCAGTATTATACGTCTGCTCTGATACCAATTTGTCACGATTCGAGCTCCAAACTCAGCTCCTACTTCACTGGAAAGCTTCTGTAACTGGATTCAACTAAATCAGCTGAATAATCGAACAACTAATCAAAGAAAATAGAAATTGGGGAGGGGAAAATGATTTAAAATTGAGAAGAGGTGAGAGATAAACTTGAATTGAGAATTCAATCCAGTAGCTAACAGAATTTCATAACAAATCACGTGAATGAATACAGAGAATACATGGCTTGTGTGATATAGGCACCACTGAGAAAACGTGAAACAAAGACAGATTAAAATGAGGAAAAACGCGTTTCTTTATTACAATTAAAATTGACTCAAAACGACACCGTTTCGTGATGAACCATATGACGCCGTTTCTGATTTCGAATTTCTGTTAATTCGGTTTCTTCTCCTCTTCTTCTTCTTCCTTCTAGTTTCTTCTTCTTGTGGAGCTTCTTCTTCCTTTTCTACCCCAATTTCTCCCTCCATAACAACACTTAGTTCTCGTGATGGGATCATTTTGCCCCTCGAAAGTGCTTTTGATAGATGGATCCAATATCTCCCATTTATTATAGCCTAGAGGTGGCATTCTCAGCATAGGAACCACTTTCTGATATCAGTACGTGTGTTTTCAAAATGTTAATTGTTGGAGATCTGATATTTATCCAGCACTAGTGCAACAGTTATGGGGGAATCTTTATATGTGACATTGCAGGAGAATGGATTACTTTATGTACCCAAGGGCCAAGCTCAAAATGCGCAGGCACAGATGTTCTCTGATCCAAATATGGCCATGGATATGATGAAAAAGAATCTTTCAATGATTATACCACAGGTACTTCTGTTGCATACTTCATAGCTTCATATTTCGTACATGACTGACAGAAATATACGATGTTCTTAATGTGTTTGTCTTTTTATTGGACAGACACTTACATTTGCATGGGTTAACTTTTTCTTCTCTGGATTTGTGGCAGGTCTGTATTTTTCCTTATTTCTTAATTTCAGTGTCATTGCATATTGGAATTTTCAACTAAATCAGCCTGCAGTATTTCTGACTGAAAATAGATCTTTTCATTAATTTTCTTTTCAAGCTAACTCGACGATCTTTTGCTCTCTGTTTTATTTTTGTTTTACTTAGTGGACTTTTCCACTTTGAATTACCTACATTATCTTTTCTTGTGTTGTCGTAATATGTTTTCATTCTAATATCCATACTGACTGTCATGGTAACTGTACATAATTTTCCAGCTAAGATACCATTTCCACTTACTCAGAGGTTCAGGTCAATGTTACAAAATGGTATTGATTTGAGTACTGTTGATGTTAGCTATGTCAGCAGTCGCTCATGGTATTTTTCCAACTCATTAGCAAAATTTATTAACGTTAAGTTAGGTTCTTACATACCATACAGCTGGAATGCATATGATGATCAACTATTGTTGTCATTTAGGTATTTCCTCAATCTATTTGGGCTGAGAGGTCTATTCAGTCTTATTCTGGGAGAAGAAAATGGTTGGTATCTCTTTAACTTCTACTTCTTTTATAATTTAATTGGTCTCTGTTATTTTTACCTTCTATATGTAAAAGATAACAATAATATGACTGGACAAGTATCTTTTTCAATATTGGGTAAATACTTCAAATCTGATCTAACATGACCGTGTCTGTTTGATGCAGCAACTGATGACACACAACGCATGATGCAAATGAGTGGTTTTGGATTTGATCCGACAAGGGTATGCATGTTAATGGTTTTTCTGCCATTTCCTGATGATTGATGTCATGTGCAATTTTTTTTACATTAGTTGGTTTCTTCTAAAACCTTTTCCCACACAGGGAGAAGTTAGATCTTATGTACTTTGCATTTAACTTCCACCAGAGAATCCGTACAGACTTGGAACGTTACCTTTAACCAATCTTCTGATTTTAAAGTTCCTGTTTTCATGTCTCACGAACTTGGCAGACAGATTTTTGTCAGTAGGAACCTTTGTTCAGTTTACATAGAATCTTTTAATTATGTCTGCTATCTATGTTATGAGAACTCCGAAACAAGCGTTGGTTGTTACCTATGGAAGATTTTTTGAGTCTAAATATAGGATAGCTGGGCACCAGAAAAATTTCAGTACATCATACCATTGACGCATTTTGTTGTAAAAATCATATGCAAGCACACATACTCGACTACTAAGATATATTCCTTCTGATCCCTTATTTTCACACAATTCTGGTCAGAGTTTGGGCGCAGAGAAAGACAGTCTAGACATTGTTCAACATGAATGGGCCTTGCCGAAATTTGAGCAGCGGGCAGAAGCTGTGTTGAAGAAACTTGTCAGTTGAGAAACTATAAGAGCTGGTAGCTACCAGCGTGTAACCTTACATCTTCATGGTGTTGCTTCATTATTGGTGCACGTGTGGCCTGAAGCCATGAAGTTGGCATGGACTTCAAATGTTAGCATGGAAAAAGAAGACTGGTTTTCGAGCTTATTGCATGTATTTTTTATCGCGTTGATTTTAAATTAAGGCGCTGTCCAGGGTTCTGGCTATTAATTTTGACAAATGGTTCGCTCTTGTATTCCCTCGTTCTAATTATGTATGCTGTCTATGTCCCCCAACTTGTTTGGCAAAAAAATTTAGAGCATCCGAAGTTTTATTTTGGAAAGACTACTGATGCAGACAGACAGCCCTTCAACGGTGGACCAAGTTCCAAAATAAACTATAGTAGAAAAATAAAGGGTTAACAGAGTTCGTAATTGTAATTTCGAAAGAAAAAGCATGTCTCATCGAGGTAGGACAACATTGGATTAAAGTGTTTGGACGATCATAACGGAATACTAAAGCGTTAGGACATTCATGGCAGAAAATCAGGCACAGTTAAATGTCTCAACTAATGGAGATACTTGGTTTCACCAACTGATAGCCTCATTTAGTGGAATGTTGCTTGAATAATTTGTTATAGGGCCAATAGATCTTGCGTTATTTTTATGAGTACTGTTATTTGCAATCGCTAACTATTATAATTGTCATACGTGGTATACATGTGGTGGTTAGCGATTTAATATATTAATGTCATAATTTTTTATTGTAAGATACATCAAATCATTAATCGACGTGTATGTCATGTAGAGCAACTGTGGTAGTGAGCAACTGTAAATAGCATAATTCTATTTTTATTTCTTCTACTCGTACAATTTAATTCCTCGGGAAATCATATTTTTTAATGGATCATGCTACATGTATCGAATTTTTTTATCAAATTTTTTACCTACTACTCACAATGGAGGTGAGAACCACATTGTTGAAAATTTTAAATACACATAGGATCCGTACATTATGTGAGAGAGGTAATTCATTATGTACAAACAATTACGCGATTAACCCTTTCTTAATACCCTTATTCCCTTTTACTCTGAGCTGTCCTAACTTATATTCGTCGTACTATTCTTGCAGTTTACACTTTAGTACCTGTCGCTTTATTGACTTTCAAGTTCGAATGTCCTGTTGGACAACTTTAAAAGTGATCAATTCAATTTACACCACTAAAAATGTACAGGCACTAAATCATGGATGTATGGGGGTGTTTGACACCTATTTTAGTAGAAAAATTACTTTTTGAATAGTGATTGATGGAAGAATATGAGGTTAAAAAATAAAGAGAATTTTTAGATTTATGTGTAATATTATTTTATTAATAGAATGTGTGGTTGAAATGAAGAATGAGAAAAAAATAGGTGTCAAACGGGGACTATGTATGGTATGACATCATCAAATAGTAATTAGGCCCTGTTTGATACGCTAAATTTTCTAGGGAACTAGGAAAATATTTTTCACTTTCAACTTTTTTGGCTGTTTGATAGGCGAAATTTTCCACGAAAAATATTTTCCTTCTTTCCTTCACACGTGTGCATTTTCCGGCTTTTGATGAAAATTGGTGGGAAAAAATTTTCCAGACTGGTTGGAAAAAAAATTTTTTTTTTTTTTTTTAGGCAATGGAAACAAATGTTATAACCAAACCAATGGTAAATTTTTTTTCACTTTAATGGATAATTTCCATGTAAAACTAAATCAAACGAATACTAAACTTTGATAAAAAAAATGATTTTTTAGGAAACAATTTTTTTTCCTTTTTTTTTTCTTACTTTTTGGCAATGGAAACAAATTTTATAACAAATTGTAAAAAAATTATCACTTTAACAAACACTTTCCATGTAAAATAAAGCCAAACGAATAGAAAATTTAAAAATTTTTTGGGTGAAAAATTATACCAATCAAACATATTTGAAATTATTTTCCCTGTAAAACATTTTTTAGACAAATCTTTTCCTTGTAAAATATTTTATTTCCACCAATTTTTCACCCTTACAATCAAGAGTAATGCTATTCATCCCCACTGGGGATGAAAACACAGTCTAGGTAGCGCTAATGTGGCATTAAATGATAGGTGAAATTAAATAAGTCATTTAATTTCACATTTCATTTCACGTATCATTTACAG